CGTACGCACAACTTAAGAACAAATCTGTGCGTACGAACGGTTCTTGCATGAGGCCCATTGATTCGACATATTTCATTTAAAATGAACAAGTCGGCTCAGTCTGGGACTGACTTGTGTTGTCTCCCTGGATCATTCAGGACACGAAGCTCTTTACCGCAGCCTCGGCTGAGCTCTGTCCGCCCCAGACCACACCAGCCCCAGACAGTAGAGTTGGAGTAGCCTGACAGGAAAAAAATAAAAACCTGTGCTGCAGCAGCTCTGCTCACAAGATCACCAATAGTTTAAATCAGGAATAAAAAAGTTCGGATCCGGTTCGAAGGGAGCTGCTTGTTAAATTTTCACAATGATGAACTGATTGCAGACATGCAGCTGTCAATCACTGTCTTTTTTTCTCCTCCCGCTGTCTGCCGGTGTTCTAAACACATGTTCTTGATTATGTGTTTCTGCTGGACATACAGTGGGCTGAGCTTCATCTTTCCACCTTTCATTCTTTCCTGAACATTAGACTGCAGTACAACTGCTCAACCCACAGTATGCAGCAAAAATACCCTTTTAGACCAAATATTGCAGATTTGAACAAATATGAACAAAAACATCAAAATTAGCACAGAAATATTACTATAAAACATTTTAGATGCATTGTAGATATTTTATCAGCTAAAAAAGTTAATTTTGGGGTAGGTTACCTTTTAAAGAGGTAAATCTGTTAACTGTTTGATTTGAACATGTCTCCTTTCCAAATCAGCTAAAGACATGGTATTGGTGCTCTTTCAAAAAATAAACACAACTGATATGAAGCTCCAGTTTTGTCTCACCAGCCCCAGAAACTTCCCAGGGAATCATAAGGGCTTTTCAGCTTGCGTTTTGATAAATTCCTGTAGAGCTGTTTTGCATTTTTCTGTCAATAGTGGAACAGTCTGGCTGGGTGTTTGTTCATGGAGCTCATTATGATTCAAAATGAAATGGGTGGTGGGCTCAGAAAGTGACAGACCTTGACCGCATGTTTGGCTTCAATAGTTTTGAATGTTTTTTTCTCTTTTTTTTATTATTGACACTGAATCAACCAGGGGTTGCATTTCCTCTTGCGCACACATCCTGGAAGGTCCAATGAAACTTACAATTTTTAATACACTGCCTGGCCAAAAAAAAACAAAAAAAAAAGTCACACACTCTAATATTTCTATGGACTGCCTTTGGCTGAGGCTTTGTTTGGATAATGTCACAAGATTTATTTCCATGCAGTGTTCGAGATCTTGATGATGGTAGAGTCTGACTGCTGTTCAAAGCCTTGCCCACCCCATCCCAAAGATACTCAGTGGACTCTGTGGTGGTCAGTCTATGCGTGAAAATGATGTCTCATGCTCCCGAACCACTCTTTCACAATTCCAGCTCTATGAATCCTGGCATCGTCATCTTGGAATATGGCCGAGCCATCCGGGAAGAAACAAACCATTGATGGAATAGCCTGCTAATTCAGTATATTCAGGTAGTCAGCTGACCTCATTCTTTGAGCACATACTGTTGCTGAACCTAGACCTGACCAACTGCAGCAACCCCACATCATAGACCAGGACTATTATACTAAATAGCTCTGGGGGCCACAGTTACTGCAGGTCAACAGCAGAGGGGCCGAACATCCAGCAATTAAAGTCATTATGTAAATAAACCAAATATTAAAAAGATCTGTTACCTTTGAAATAGTTTATTTTGCTGTATTTAATCATGAATGCAACATACAGAACCCTATAAAAGTAGTGATAATTAAACAATACCAAAAACAAAAAGAACCCATTGTGTCTCCTTTTTGACACATATTATTTGGACATCTCTGACTTGCCAAATTTTTGAACAAATTTTATTTTCACTTTCATAGTTTTATATTCAACTGCTTGTAATGTTAACTGTCTTGGATGTTCGTAGAAATGGTTAATACCAGCTTGTAGCCAAGATTCTGATATTTCAGTAGATACCAGACTTGTCCATGTTTAACTAAAAGAATGTTTAATAATTAAAGTAGAAAACCGGGGGTTTGGGCTTAAGAGATGAGTGATCGAATTGGCGAGCCAAACTTTGGTCACTCACGGATCAGATGTGGCTTGCGGGCCACAAGTTGAATAGCCCTGTCATAGACCTTAGTTAAATCCAGGTGGAGACTTTTTTTGGCTGGGCAGTGTAATATTGACAGCTGTGGTCAGAGGAACAGGAAGCTTCTTGTAGAGATCCTTATAGCCTTTACCTTTAACATGGATATCTTCTTTCTGATCTCCTCAGACAGCTCTTCATACACGTAGTTTGAAACATGTCTATATTGCAAAGACTATTTTAAACATGCCCACAAGTATATCCATTTTATTTATACACAGCCCACAAGGGACAGGGGAATATATTTTGTTTGTGTGTGTGGGTGTGTGTTACCTCACAATACCTTTGTGTTCCCTCGCATTACTTTTGTGTTCCTTTACAATACTTTCTGCATTCACAAAAGAAACTGTGTACCCTTGCATTATTGTTTTGCATTCCAAAGCAAAAGATTAATTTTTTGTATTAACTGTATTGAATCAGACTTTTATTTTGAAATAGCGTCGTCGCCACAAGCTCGGGAAATTGACGGTGATATTGTGCGACTGCATAGAGTTAAAACATCTGCATATTACTTGGCTCCATGTGTGGCTGTGATATGTATATATATATA